CAAATGCTCCAATATCCCGTTTACATTGGCAACAAATTGAAATAGAGCTACTTGCGAGGATGATGGCGTGATATAACTGTTGTGCTGAATATTTACTTGCGATTCACTGTTGTATGGAATATTTACTTTGCACTTTGTTGCTTTCTCATTCAGTAACATAAAATGGTGATTGGCTGAGCCTTACAGCTGAAGTTATATGTACAAACAACAAGTTAACTAGATTTCCATGGAAGTTCAAGTACTCCATTTTCCAGTATACAGAGTAATGGTGGCAACAAATCAAAATAGAGCTACTTGCTAGGATAATGATGTGATATCACCATCGTATTGAATATTTACTCGGTATTGTGGATTATGCACTTCTGGAGGTTTGAACCAGAGTACTAAATCATAGTACATAGAGGTCTGTCTTATCTTAAAAAACATCTATCTAGTCAAGTCATTAGGGGTGTGTGGGGAGGGAGGGTGTGTGTAATAGACCTGTATTCATCTCATACTCTGTGTCTTCTAAACAATGAATAGCAACTGCAAGTGAATCCCAGTATAAGAAAGCACCTACAAGATATAAGAAACACAATACCATAACAACTAAACAAGTTAACCTAAAAAACCACTTCCATTACGTATTCGCTTAATAATACTGCATAGAGTTGTTGAAGTATGCATAAAATAGTAAACCATAATGCAAAACAAAGATCTTCCAAAAGCAGTACTCAAAATATGAAAAGCCAATTTGAAAAATAGCTCAAATAAAATCCATTAGTAATCAAAATCCAACCATTTTGTGAAGTAGGCACAAGTACTTGGTGAAATAATTCCATTGGGTGTGCATTGACTAATCCTGGGACAAACACCACATGGAATTGAAGCCATTGCCCCAATTTTTGGACCCTGTCCAATCCCTGCCCCAGTTGCACATCTATAACAAGACGTGCCAATAGGAATAGAATGATATTCTCCCAATCCAGTACTCTTCACCTCTAGAATTTCATTGTCCAAAACCATACACCTCAATATCTCGGAAATTTGCTGAACTGTGCACTCAACCTTAATGGCTCCACTTTTCTTGAAAAAATCGTGAACTTGCTCCGTTGTAGCAACCTTCCGACTACGTATGAACCTAAAGCAAAAATCTTTGAGAACAGAAATGAATTCTTTATCAAGATTCCCTTCCACATACCAGGAGCCACCCGTGACTTCCTTTGATGGTTCAAACTCAGCTGCCATGTAGTGTTTTCTCCCCTTGCTTTGGATGTTTACAACCTCCTTTATCAGTTTCTTTGCTAGAAGTGACTTGAGGGATTTATTAACAAGATTTTCTGGTAGGTTTGTGTCTCGTTTGATGTCTCTTGTCCAGATTCCCATATCTTCTTTACTTTTGATCACTGTGAGAACTGCACGGTCAGCATCGACAAGAGACTGAGTAAGGGGATTCGATTCTGGCCTTTTCCGCTTAAGAGCGGAAGTATCTTGTGAATGGCTCATTCCTGTTGAAAGGAAATGTAACAGAATGAAAACATTGGTACAATACATGAAGATGCGGTTATAGAACACTACATTGAATTCTCATGAGTCTGACTGAAAGATGTTAGTCACTGAAAACTTTGAAGGGACAAAATCCACTTTCTTCTCTTTTTTTGTTTCTATCTCACAAACCGAACAAAGGAAAGGATCCCCTGCAAACTTGCAGCAGTCACAAGGAAAGAGAAAGAACTCATTGGATAGGAACCACTCAACCTGTGAATGCACATTATTGTTTCAACCATAACAGTAGAAATCATATACACAATCATCAATTATGAAGGGAACTATTAAATCCACTAATATAGATAAAAAGAACTGGCGATAAGTATGGAATTTTAGTATACAAAGGCATCATTCATTTACCACGATTCCAACGACCAACACTGGCAATCGGAACATAATGATCCAAATCTAAACCACAAAATGAAGAAGCAAGGCAAACCCGTTTGAATAAATTTGATGTGTGCAAGGAAGGCTCTTAATTGTAAGAATGACACTATTATATTTCCAGATCAAAGAGCTACGCAGTGATATATAAAAGAGGTGAGAGCAGAGAGTTGACCCATGATACAACCAAAATCTGGATCAACATAACTAAACCAGGTTTGTATGGCGTTATAGATGGGGTAACTTCTTTTCTCCAAATCTACAAGTAGAACTTATCATTGACTGATCATCAACTTTGTCAGCATAAAATAGCATGTTGTCTGTAAATGACACAATTAAGTATAGAACAAAAGGCCTTGTTTAATGGGTTTCTAGATTTCATATGTCACCGGTAAAAACAAATACTTGTGGTAGGTACACGGTTTCAAATGCCAACTAAATAGGGGAGTGTTCTAGAGAGAAACGAATGGTGCCTGTATCCTCTTCCTCAAACAGTCAAACACCATCGAGTCTCAGATAATTAAGTACATAAACAAAAGAAAATACATGTACACAACAGTGGGTGGGTCTATGTCTGTTGGTTTAGAGATTCAACAAACGTGTGGTTCACTGGAATGAAAAAGAAGCTGGGGCCTGAATTAGTTTCGTAAGTGCAGAGCATAGAACACGACAAGTAAACCATGATCCTAAGCTATAATTGTTCTTGCAACCTGGACCAGTTCATGTCCAATTCTGATGCACCGATTTCTCATAAAAACTTCTTCAAAACTCAACAATGTCTTGAGATTAAATCAAATGTCTTTGTCTCGAAAATAATAACAAAATCCCAGAACAACAGCAACACGCAAAGAGATAGGAAGAGCCTTACATAGACAGAGGGGATATACGACCGCCGTCGTCTTCATGGGTTATGCGGCGGAGGAGGGAGTGGAGATAGAGGGTGACGCCAAGCGAGAGGCGGGGCGCGGCCATAATTATTGAACCCGGCTCGGACAGCAACCCAGTGAAGTCACCACGTCGATGAGTCACTTCAACCGTTGGGTCACCAATCGGACCCATATTTCCACTAAAGTTCAGCGGCTTCAATGGGGGTGAGGTGATAAAACAACCAAAGCAGAGGGCTTTTAGGAAAGAAACATGCCATTATACCTCTGAATGATTAGGTACATTACCCATATTAGGGCTTTTAGGTGATAAAACAATCCAGGTTTAGAATCAATTAGGTAATTCAAATGTTTAATGTGAGAGAGAGAGAGAGAGAGAGATGAATTTGATTTGTAGAGTTGCTGCTATGAATGATTTGTAAGATTGTTAGGTGCGAGAGATTAGAGAGACGAGGTGAGACTGTGAAGTGAGAGGTGAGAGAATTTACCTGACGGAGACGACCGAGACGATGTAGGGCAAACGCCGAACGACGGTTGCAGCGTGCGAGGACGATTGGGAGAGATGACCTGAGACTCAGTCCTGAAAGATCTGTTCGATGAGCGGCAAATTTTTAGGGATAGAGGTTGATTTTTATACCAGCTATTCAGACCGGTCCTGACTAAACAGAACAGTCCGGTTCATACGTATTTTATAAAAACTGCCGGGAAAATTAGCAACCCATCACGGTCCAAGAACCGGTTCATCGGGTGAACCCTCCGGGCCGGGCCATATTTAATAGTAAAATTTGGAGATATATGTACTTGTTTGGATTTAAGTCCGCAAAAAAAATTTATTTGTTATGAAAATAATTTTTTGTCAATTTTATCAGACTATTCATTCTATTTAGAAGTAAAGTAAAACTAAAAATTAAAAATTCTTCAATTTTAAGAGTTTGACTAATATTAAAAAAAAAATTCTCTTATATCTATCTATATCCATATATAGGTTAGTATTATATTTCTCTCATATATATAAACTAGAAATTGCTCGTGTCTGAAGGCACTATGTAACTCATAAAAAAATTACAAACATGTATCCATGTTCGAAATAAATATATTACACAAAATTTCAATAATTGCAAATGAATATGACCCCACAAAGTAAAATTTAAATAAACCAAGATGTTACAAACAAAGATATTTGGTGTCATTGACCTTTAGATATCAAATGACAAAGTCCTAAAACCTTTAAAAGAAAAGAAAATAATAATCTAAACTCAGAGCTAGAATTTCAAATAAAGTAAGCTTGTTATGATAATTAAATTTCATATTTTATAAAAAAATTACACTATTAAACTTGTTAGGACCATACCTAATAACCATAAAAAACAAATCATAATTAATTTACACTAAATTAAATTCCGAAAATTTCAACAAAAAGGGGAGCATGCCCCGTGAACGTGCAGTCCCATGACTATCCTATTCATCACAAAGATGTAGTACCACCAAATTTTGCTTCATAACATCTGATGCCATTTGGTACAAATTGTCCAATGAAATCAAAGAACCTCTCGTCTGAAAAATTAACAAATTAACAAACTTCCATTAGCGATTCACACACACATACACATACCATTTGTTGATTTATTATAACTTTATGTCTAGAAAGATCGTATACATGTATACCCCTTACCCCACACCAACACAAACATAAACTTTCATTCACACTACTGTTACCTCAAAAAATACATAATTGTGGGGTGACATAATAAGAGGGTTAAGTGAGAATTTAAATAGATAAATTTAATACCTAAATAAAGATAGAAAGTGCAACAATGATCACTTTGTTAATTATAATTAAGATATAAAAGGCAATGTGACAAACTAATGTAGTAAATATAAAATTTTCAATTGTTATTGCTAAATAAATGTAGTGTAGATTCATTAATCTACAACAATTACATACAAAGGTTTCTAATTTAATTCCACAACGTACATAATTACTTTTTTTAACCTTTTAGATATATTTTTTAGCAAAAAATAACTTACTTGACTGGTCCTTGTACCATGGAGTTACTCTATATGTTAATTAGAATGTCTAACATTTAGATCATCTTCAAAATGGAAAACTCCTTTGGAGATGACAATGCACACAACACAACTGGAGCTCAATGTGACTTTTGATCGGATGGCTAATGGGCATAATTAGGTGAATAGAGAGCAAGCATAATAGAATAAAATGTTCTTAGTCATAAAACACAACATTTTATCCAGAAACGCAACATTCCACCTATTGAGATCTCACAAATCAGAAAAAACGTACACAATCAATTTAGTGTAATCATTGTCAAGACATCGTGGTAAAATGTATTATGACTATGACTATAAATATTAATGTTCTCATGACACCGTAATAGAATTATTACTATTGGCAAACACATTATCTGATGGCATACACAGTTTATTGAACTCCACTCAAGCACAATGCAATTTAGGAACTAAAAACAACTCCTCATTGTTCCCAGACAAAACATAAAGCCTCTGTCAATCAAAAAAACAAATAACTTTTCCTCAAAAAAATGAATTTGCATGGGATAATTTGAGTTAATCATTTCGAACTCAAATCCATAATGCCAAACCTAAAAACAATGAATTCCAATAGTGAATCCATGTGGGACAACACACAAACGGAGGACTTCAAGGGCTTTGTCTTGATCCAAATAGGTCCATCTTTCAAAACAATGCATTCATAAGTGTGTATTAGCATAGTCCAAAGTTCCTGAAAGGGCAATACACACGACATGATTTCAAACTTTGATGAAAATGAATCTAGGAAAAACTTGGATAAAAATAGATAGAGTTAAGGCCAATAAGTAAAAACCAAAAAGAAAAAATAAGGAAGAAAAAGTGGGTGAATGTGGCAAACCCCATAAGTGGGAAAAGCAAGCAATGAGAGTGCTCGGCCCAAATATGCCCTTGCAAAGCACCCACTACTAAACCTACACAAATAAATCACCAATATCCTCAAACTTGCATAAGCGATAAACACCCAATCACCGCCTAATGCTATAAATGACAAAATAAAAAAAAACACCCTCTGAAATAAAAATAAAGAATTGAATCAAAAATTAAGTACAAAGCCAACATCATTTTAAGAACTTACTCTCTAAACAACAGAATTTTATGAAGCAAAATCACAATCAAAAAAATATTTAATTTATTAATGGATGAAGCAAATGCATTATTGTTTGATGCATAATCTTGAGGGCAAGTTTAAGTCAAATTTAAACAGTAAATCAAACTAAGAATTGATTAAAGATTGAAATTCTGACACAGCCAAAAGCAAGGTGTCAAATTGAGGACCATAGATTATCTTAAAGTTTAGATATGTAGACATTACAACCACTAATGATATGAAATGTCTACATTTCAAAATGATCTACTCCATAATAGAGAATGCAAGAAGGAATCAAAACTTCGTGTATAAAACATCTAGGAATTGAGTAAACTTTGGTATCTCTTAAACAAAAAAAAAAAAAAACATGTACTGATTAATCTATAATCAATTCAAGTGGACCGAGAAACCATCAATGAAATACTTACACCTAAGTGTCTCGTTTGGCTCATTTTCCTACCATATTTTATATTTAACATTTTGTCAATTCATGTTCAAGCAATCAAACCAAACTAAACCTTCATATCAGATCCAAATAAAAACCAATCTAAACCGCTCCCACTGCAACACACGTTGCATATATCACGTCTTAGCAATTATAAGTAATATAAAAGACAAATATACATAATTCTATTCAAAAATCAATAGAAATTAAAAGAACGATACCTTTTAAGAGCCAATCTCTAGAATTTCGGGATCTCCTCAATTAATTCACGCATCAATAGCCAATACAAACACCCACTCCTGGGGGCTGCCTCATCTTTTCTGAAAAACCATACAATTTAAACTTAAATTCCAAAATTCAATCCAAAACCCTGGAATTTGGACATTTTGAAACAATTAAGCAGTTACTAATTAGAGACTGTGTCACATAGACAAATATTAGATCCAATCAACTCTTTAATTTGAACCAATCACCAATCTCAGATTTTGAACTCAAATCACCTGCAACAAACCATGACCTAACTCAAAATCACAAATACAAAATTAAGGTACCAAATTACTATACAATCAAAAACAATTTCGGTTGCAATCAATACAAAAAAACAATATTTAACCAAAAAGTGTTATTTCTGTGAAGATGGGTGGGTTTACGGTGGGCGTGAAAGAGAAACGCTATGGCGTGGGGTGGGGTAGGGGAGTCGATAGCGTTGGGATGGTAAACGTCGTTGGCAAGAGAAAAATCAAAGAAAAAGGGAAGAGAAGACGATGGATAGAGCCAGCGAGAGAGAGGCTTTTCGCGAGTGAGGTAAAGCCAGTGATAAGATAGGGCTGAAATTAGGGGGATGAGGAGGGAGACGGGAGAAATTTTTTGGGAGGGGATGAGGGAGAGAGAGAAAATCGAAGGAGAGGAACAGAGTTATAGAGTGGGGGGGGAGCAAAACCTGGTATTGTTGGTGGTGATGATGGCTGGCGGTGGCTGGCAACGGCGGTGGCGGTGGCGGTGGCGGTGGCTGGCAGCGGCGGAGGCAGTAGAGAGAGATAAGTTATGAGAGACAGTGAAAGGAAGGCGTATGGAGAGATGTATTTCGAGTGGGAGTGAGTGAGAGACGAATGGGAGAAATCAGAAATATACTTATGATTGAGATAAGTCTTGAGAGTCTTATAATTATAGGCTTATTGAAATTGGAGGATCGTTACATCAAAAGTCTAGAATTAATTTGAGCCACGAAAAATTTAAAATAAAAAAATTTAATTATTTATATATATATATGTGTGTGTGTGTGTGTGTAGGGAGAGAGAGGGGAAGATGAGACGGTGTGTTTAAAACGTTTAAAAGATAGATTAGAGAGAGAGAGAGAGTTAGAAAATATTGGTGGGCAAAAAAATAAAATTTATTATTCACTTTAAACCGTCAAATCACTATTTATGAAATGGTCTAAACCGTCTTTTATGTTGAGATTATGTTGTTCGTTGGATGTGTTTATATTTTGTCTTAAAAACAATCTGGATAAAAAAAATAGTAACATGTTCATTCAATATTAATATTTTAAAAAAATAGCAATAATAACAGATTCAACAAAAAATAATAACATGTTCAACAAAAATAGTAACATGATTAACAAAAACAGTAACATATTTAACAAAAAAAAAAACAATACGGAACTTTAAACAAAATTAAAAATAAAAAATAGTCACATTTTAACCCATAACTAGAGGAAGAAGCCTCTAAATTTTCATTGTTTTTTGCATTCCTAATTTTAAAATGCGATTCATTGTTATTAAATTAAATGATATAGGTTTCAATTTTTTGGATATTTTGTTGTGCAATACAATCGAAAAATGTTTGATTGTGTTACTTGTAGAAAAAAGTTGATGTTATTACGAGAAAAAAAGAAAATTATTTTTACTTATTCGATGACTTGACATTCACAAGTAGTGATGATTGTCCTAATTCAACTGACTATTATGTATTACTACTCTAAATAATATAATTTTTCGATTTATGGACCATATTTTATGAAAAATAAGCGAAAATTATTGTTATTGTGAAGGAAAAAAAATATTTCACTGATTTTATTGTGAAAAAAAAAATCTTGTTAATGTTACTATGAAACATATATCCTCCTGAGATTTGTTAAAGTCATTG